ACAAAATCACCTGTGCACATGTGAATTTGTGTCCACTGAAATGTTATTTGAGGTAAAAATGGATACAACTTTAAAACATGACAAATATCTTGCAGGTAGTTTAACCTTCGTTTTGGACATCAATTCTGCTGCTGCTCTTGTCATATCTGTGATACCTCCAGCCATCTACCTGGGTCTTTGTTTCAAGCTCAAGTCAGACACTCAAATTACCATTGCAGCAATCTTGAGTCTCTGTTATGCATTCCTTATGTTGACAGTGACAATTTCTATTATTGGTATGCTATGTTTAATCAGATTTAACTTATAATAAATTTTGCATTTTGTTATTCAGATTTTGTTTAATGTTTTGACAAGAAATACTTAAACCTGCTTGAACACCTGTCTTGTTTATTCAGGATCAATGTTGGAAGAGAAAACCATCCTGACACCCAGCAGCATTTTCATCATCTTCATGGCCATCCTTTACCTAATCACTGCAGCAATGCATCCTCAGGAATTTCCTCTGGTGTTCCATGGCTTTCTCTACATCATCTGCATCCCCAGCGCCTACCTTCTGCTCACCATCTACTCCATGGTTAACATGAACAATGTGTCTTGGGGCACCAGGGAGACAAAACCTGCTGCTGGTGCAGCCCCACCTCCAACTCTCACGCCACAAACGAGAGCACAGAAAGGTAAGAGATATTAGACTTTTTTCTATGACACTCACAGATGTTACTGTTTTTCTGTTTTATGAAACGTGTATGATTTTGTTTGCAGCCAAAAGTATCTGCCAATGGCTCGTCTCATGGATCAAATGCTGCAAAAAATCCAGCCAGAGATTTCAAGGTGAACAGCTGAGTAGGAGTCAGGACAACACAGCCCAAGAGCCTGAGCAGCTTGAACCTGAACCCCAAAACACTATTGTGGAGGATATAACTATCACAGAAGAAGAACAGGGGTATGTTCTGAAGCTGGAAAAATAATTTCAGCACATCAGTCCTATGTACTGATATTTAGTTTTATTTTTTCCCAAATTTTCTTTCAGGCAATTAGACAGCAACATCCAAAGTAAGTCCATGAAATTCATTCTGAGGTTTTTTTTTGTTTATTTTTGAATTCAGATAAACATACAGCTGTGATTTAATGATTTTTGCCATCCTTTTATTAGCAAGCTGGATTGAGGTGCTACAGAATTTGTCCAGTGACATGAAATTGCAAGAGGACTCACTCGAGCAGGTGTGTACGTGTTGTCAGTTATCTCATTTGCCTTGTTTACATCTCTGTCCAGAATTTATCTTTACTCCCATCTATAAAAAGGACGATGAGCAGTATGTACAAATACTAAAACTGTTAAAAAAATACTCCAGTAAAAGTTGAAGTACAGATTCAACTTTTTTACTCCAGGTTCCAGGTCTGAAATGTACTCAAAGTAAGAAACAAGAAAAGCTCTTTAGAGGACATTTCTATTTTTGTGCAAGGCTAACTGGTCCTTGTGTTATATCAACATAATGATAATGATGAATGAATGATGATCAGCTTGAATCTGAAGAAAAAGAACAAAATTTATATTGATATGTTTATCTTCTGATCCCTACATTGTAGAGGGTGACT